CTCCCCTTACAATTAGCATTTCTACAGTAAAACCTCCCCTTACAATTAGCATTTCTACAGTAAAACCTCCCCTTACAATTAGCATTTCTACAGTAAAACCTTTATAAAGAAGAACCTCCCCACTTCTACATCAAAACCACTGTTATATAAGAACCTTCCTATTGTAAACATTTCTACAGTAAAACCTCTGTAAAGTAGAATATCTATAAACATTTCTATAAACTGTAAAGTAGAATATCTATAAACATTTCTCCAGTAAAACCTCTGTAAAGTAGAATATCTATAAACATTTCTACAGTAAAACCTCTGTAAAGTAGAATATCTATAAACATTTCTACAGTAAACCCTCTGTAAAGTAGAATATCTATAAACATTTCTACAGTAAAACCTCTGTAAAGTAGAATATCTATAAACATTTCTACAGTAAAACCTCTGTAAAGTAGAATATCTATAAACATTTCTCCAGTAAAACCTCTGTAAAGTGGAATATCTATAAACATTTCTCCAGTAAAACCTTTGTAAAGTAGAATATCTATAAACATTTCTACAGTAAAACCTCTGTAAAGTAGAATATCTATAAACATTTCTCCAGTAAAACCTCTGTAAAGTAGAATATCTATAAACATTTCTCCAGTAAAACCTCTGTAAAGTAGAATATCTATAAACATTTCTACAGTAAAACCTCTGTAAAGTAGAATATCTATAAACATTTCTACAGTAAAACCTCTGTAAAGTAGAATATCTATAAACATTTCTACAGTAAAACCTCTGTAAAGTAGAATATCTATAAACATTTCTCCAGTAAAACCTCTGTAAAGTAGAATATCTATAAACATTTCTACAGTAAAACCTCTGTAAAGTAGAATATCTATAAACATTTCTCCAGTAAAACCTCTGTAAAGTAGAATATCTATAAACATTTCTCCAGTAAAACCTCTGTAAAGTAGAATATCTATAAACATTTCTACAGTAAAACCTCTGTAAAGTAGAATATCTATAAACATTTCTACAGTAAAACCTCTGTAAAGTAGAATATCTATAAACATTTCTACAGTAAAACCTCTGTAAAGTAGAATATCTATAAACATTTCTACAGTAAAACCTCTGTAAAGTAGAATATCTATAAACATTTCTACAGTAAAACCTTTGTAAAGTAGAATATCTATAAACATTTCTACAGTAAAACCTCTGTAAAGTAGAATATCTCTAAACATTTCTCCAGTAAAACCTTTGTAAAGTAGAATATCTATAAACATTTCTACAGTAAAACCTTGTAAAGTAGAATATCTATAAACATTTCTACAGTAAAACCTCTGTAAAGTAGAATATCTATAAACATTTCTACAGAAAAACCTCTGTAAAGTAGAATATCTATAAACATTTCTCCAGTAAAACCTTTGTAAAGTAGAATATCTATAAACATTTCTCCAGTAAAACCTCTGTAAAGTAGAATATCTATAAACATTTCTACAGAAAAACCTCTAAATACCGTTATAACAGATGAAACTTCACACAGCAGTAATATTTTAATGTGAATAATGGATAAAACAAATTCCAATGATATATTTATGGTACATAGTGATTACTATATATCGCCACTTAAGTGTAATGGTATGGTCATTCTTAATGTAAAGATTCTCTACATAAACTAAGACCCGGATTTAACATGGATATCTATAAGGATAAGCTTCTAACCAGTAGAACTTCCCTTCAAAGGAACGTCTGAAGTATAGCCTATTGATACAGATCATACACTGGAAAACAGCAAAACCTCCAAACAAGCCTTGTTATAACAACTTTCAACTCTGAATATCTGTAAGCCTGGGATTTTGTAATCAAGTTAGTGTAACTGTTAAGATGCAGCCTTTAAGTGATACACCAGTAAATTCTAGAGACACAGTAGCCCAAATGTTTACAAGTAACAGAAACCTTTTGAATCTACCAGGAAGTTTTGATAACTGACAAGAGACAACAGACAAATAAACATGTCAGCAAACTCCCTATCAGTCTCAGACCACTTTGACCAGTGTCCAGTCAGAAACTGGACATTCCAGCTGTCAGCTACACCAGTCTGGGATGAGAGAGAGTACTCAGGCCTGAGATAAATCCAGCGCTATGTCTGGTAATGGAAGGGAGTATTGTTATTGTTTATCAATATGTCCAGAGTGATGTATAACAAACCGCCCTGTCAGAACACCTCAATAATCCTGATATGTTCAGTAATAGGCTTTCTGGTGTTTGATTTTCCTTCATACTTAAACGTATTCATGAGACCGTTATATATCTATGTCCTTTCCCTACCAGCCTCGCATCTCTATATCAGCAAATCCTTCAGACAGGGTCAAGTTAGACAGATATATAGCATATCTTTTTATCCTACTGTCATAAATCGTCTTCTTGTTTACAAAACAAAAACTCCCAGAAGCTGGTTGTCCTTATTGGTACTATGTAAGGTCTTTTCCCTTCCTCCTTCTCTCTTACTTGTTTTCACTAGATGTTGCAATGTTGTAGTAAAAGTTATCATATGGTAACATAGTTCAATAAGGGATACCAAAAGATAGAAATTAAAACCTGTCTATCTGAAGTGCATTTAAATTAAGGAAATGAACTATACTACTTGATCCAATCTGTAAATGTCCAAATCCACAATGCTGCCACTTATCCTTCATCATGTTCGTCAAATCAGTCACCAAATGAAAGTGTAAACTATGTACCTAAGGAACCTACAAGTGATATCTGGTACAGAAGTTCTTTATAAAAAACAGAAGTATCATTTAAATTTAGTAACTTTAAAAATCATTGATGCAATGATGATTGCAGCAAGTCTTAACACTCAACTGTGGCAAAAACGAGTTACCAGGAGAAATCTACAAAAGAAACTGTGATCAACCCCTCTATATTTTCTAAGAAATGGCAAAAATGGACTAAATTTATCAAAGCCTAAGATGACCAACAGCTGGCCATTTTAGCTCCCAATATCTAGGAATCAAGGGGAAACCTTCAAGAGGTATATGACATAAAATGAAAAAATTCTTCATAGAGAAAATCCAAGATTTCCAAGTGTCGGTAATTTTCCTTTTTCCAATCAGTCCCAAAAATTGAATATACTAAAAATTATAGCAACAGAAATCTGCATATAAACATTTGAGATTGATCCTGTACTGTCCAAGAAACAGTGTATGCAAATCCAAGATGGCTACCAGTCAGCCATTTTATTTTTCATCATTCCCAAAATCGAAAGGGCATAATAAAGGTCTGAAGTGAACCTATATGTAATTCAAGATATTTAAAAAACTGAATTCAGATATTGTAGACATCTCACTGGTATTGTTTTCCTTATTTGTATTAACACAACAACATCTATTTTAAGACAGATTTCCATTTCCAAAATACTTTGCTAACAATAAATACAATCAGGTTTTACATTAGAAGAAACATCAACCCTTTAATATTCATTTCAGATTTCACTGCTACATGTCCTAACTTTGTTAAGCCGATCTTTATATAGGTATTTATTTCATTCTCCATACGTACATTACAATCTAGGATATAGAACTAAAGTATAACACAATGACAAGACCTGATGTTCTAGACTGATAATTACATTCTGCTCTGACTACTACTTTTTTTTTTGTAAGAACAGTGCATTCCACCCTGAGATAACTTCTGGGATTCTGCATGGTGAAAGAAAATGAAATACCAGTTAGAGGAATAAGTCACAAAAACATATATACCCAAACTTAATAATAAAACATAAAATCTCTACATACCACCCACATTCTCTGAATGTGTCAAACTAATAACAATACATGTACTAGGAATGAGCTGCTAAAAATAGTTGGATTCTTCTACTTAATTAAGGGACATAGACACCCTCATTTCATGATAAATCCTGTCATCAAATGCATGCAGTATGTATGCCTGCACTGAGTAACTTCTCTAAACCACTCACATTTTATAATAATAATTGAATTCATGTGTACTTAATATCAGAGATATCTAAAAATCATTAAACCTTTATGTTGGTGTGAACTACCTATATCTTCCCTCTCCTTACCCCTAGTATCTCCCATCAGTTGAAGCCATGTGTTAAGTCTTTATCAACCTTGTACTCTCTAGTATCATAACATTCAGTACTCAAATTCAAATATTATTCATGTATACACCATCTGGTTTTCTACACTTAGAATATGTGTATAACATATCTGCCCTATCAATGTTCTCTAAATATTGATCTTGTCCTAAATTTGCTACACAGAAAGATTTCATCAATAGTTGATAATAAAGAACAGTGCTTTCTGAGACAGAAGTCTTTCGATGGAGCTTGGATGTGTGCAAAGATATCATAGAGAGCATTTCTCACAACCCTCCAATCACACGAGCTACAACAGGATAAAATATTGTACCAGATAAACATAACAAATAAGATAACGTCATAGTTTATTTCATTTACCACATTTAGCATCTGAGCTGACAATTACTACCTTTCAAATCTGAAATTCATATAACAGTGTTGATAAACAGATTTAAGATCAATACATCAAGAAAACCATGATCATATACGGTGAAAATGTTACAAAAGGTAAGGTATATATTTAAAGTTAACTGGGTCCATAAGACAGGGGAATCTTAGGACTGCAGATAAGTTTACTGAGCCCATAAGACAGGGAAATCTTAGGACTGCAGAAAAGTTCACTGAGCCCATAAGACAGGAGAATCTTAGAACTGCAGATAAGTTCACTGAGCCCATAAGACAGGGGAATTTTAGGACTGCAGATACATTCACTGGGCCCATAAGACAGGGGAATCTTAGGACTGCGGATAACTTCACTGGGTCCATAAGACAAGGGAATCTTAGAAATGCAGATAAGTTCACAGAGCCCATAAGACAGGGGAATCTAAGGACTGCAGAAAAGTTAACTAAGCCTATTGGACTGGGGAACCTTAGGACTGCCCCTTAGGACCATAGATAAGTTCACTAGCCTATTAGACAGGGGTACCCTCGGACTGTAGATAAGTTCACTGGCTTATAAGTCAGGGGAACCTTAGGACTGCCCCTCAGTACTGCATATAAGTTCACTGGCCTATTAGACAGGGGAACCTTAGGACTGCCCCTCAGGACTGCAGATAAGTTCACTGGCCTATTAGACAGGGGAACCTTAGGACTGCCCCTCAGGACTGCAGATAAGTTCACTGGCCTATTAGACAGGGGAACCTTAGGACTGCCCCTCAGGACTGCAGATAAGTTCACTGGCCTATTAGACAGTGGAACCTTAGGACTGCCCCTCAGGACTGCAGATAAGTTCACTGGCCTATTAGACAGGGGAACCTTAGGACTGCCCCTCAGGACAGCAGATAAGTTCACTGGCCTATTAGACAGGGGAACCTTAGGACTGCCCCTCAGGACTGCAGATAAGTTCACTGGCCTATTAGACAGGGGAACCTTAGGACTGCCCCTCAGGACTGCAGATAAGTTCACTGGCCTATTAGACAGGGGAACCTTAGGACTGCCCCTCAGGACTGCAGATAAGTTCACTGGCCTATTAGACAGGGGAACCTTAGGACTGCCCCTCAGGACAGCAGATAAGTTCACTGGCCTATTAGACAGGGGAACCTTAGGACTGCCCCTCAGGACTGCAGATAAGTTCACTGGCCTATTAGACAGGGGAACCTTATGCCAGTAGAGAAATCTTAGGACTGCAGATAAGTTCACTGAGCCCATAAGACAGGGGAATTTTAGGACTGCAGATACATTCACTGGGCCCATAAGACAGGGGAATCTTAGGACTGCGGATAACTTCACTGGGTCCATAAGACAAGGGAATCTTAGAAATGCAGATAAGTTCACAGAGCCCATAAGACAGGGGAATCTTAGGACTGCAGAAAAGTTAACTAAGCCTATTGGACTGGGGAACCTTAGGACTGCCCCTTAGGACCATAGATAAGTTCACTAGCCTATTAGACAGGGGAACCCTCGGACTGTAGATAAGTTCACTGGCTTATAAGTCAGGGGAACCTTTCAGACAGCAGATAAGTTCACTAGTCATGTTAGACAGGAAGAACATTAGGACTTCATATAAGTTGACTGGTTCCATCTGACAGGAGAATCTCTGGACTTCATAGTACTTTACTGGCCCATGTAGAAGGAGAATCATTGGATAGCAAATAAGTTCATTAGTCCAACTAAACAGGAAAATTTTAGCACTGCAGAAAAATCTTTTTTTCGACAGCTTATCAGTATTTTGACATTGGTTACAGTTATAGAATACCCACTGAGGGAATCAGCATTTTGACATTAATGTTAGGGTTATACAATAAATGACAGAGGGTATCAAGTATTTTGACACTATTACCAAGTTACAGTTATACTATACTGACTGAATACGGCAGCAATACCAAGTATTTTCATCTTACATCCTTCACATGAACTTTTGTTTCTCAGCAACGGTAAAATATAAACCATAAACATCTACATCCCACGATTGGCTCTGCAGCAATCTATGTGTCTATCAAAGTCTACTACTGGAATAGAAAATTCTTTGATCAACCCAGGATTATGGAGAAGATGCAGAAGCTGAAAATGTAATGCTGGGTTACTGGTGGGTTAACGAGGTAATACACTGATGTAAGGGATTACACACATAAAATGATGTATAGGTAGCTAAAGAGGACAGGAATTTTACTTTGATAACAATTTAATTTAGGTTAATCAGGAAAATCAGAGGGGAAAAACACAGCTAAACATTTCATAAAGAAAAATATCTTTGATCAAAGTTCTTGAGTTCCATATCAGCAAATAAAACATTTTGATGAAATGTAAAGCTCGCACACATCATATTTGAGTAAATTTCTTAAAATCTGACAACTTAGATTTCTTGGAACTTGTCCATGGAAAATGAAATACAGGAGGTTATTAGTACATATTGTTGGCCTCATAGCCTTATCATCACACTACAGGTGCATTGTGCTTTCCTGACAGCCAATTCCACATATCAGCCAATTGTAGATTACCACCAGATTGATGTCTGAACGGGAGTTGTCTCCCCTTACATGCAGCTGCCACTGGTGCACTGTTCAGTGCACACAGCTGATACAACATATCAGGTCTCTGATTTCAATATTCTTCCCTAAGTACTCAGCCAAATGGTGGCTGTAATAAGCAGGCATTGCCTGGTGTTGAATTAACTATCTATCAGACCAGTTAATGTAAAATTGACACCTTTGATATGATCTCCGTTTACACAATACACCGCTATAAATCTGCTGTACGGCAATGTTAACTTTGGGTTTGACACCTATAGCTTCACCTGATTAAATCACAACTACACAATAACACAAATACCTTTCCTTAAAAACAAATTTATTCCGGGCTCGGCACACTTGTTATCTCAGGTTGATCAGGTTACAATACATTTCCACACAATTTTAGATTTCAATGAAACACAATTGATTCGTAATGATTTTTTAAATTCATTCTGAAATAATCGCTACACACTATCGACCAAAGCATATGAAATTCACACCCAGTAACTATGATAATTCTAGACAACCATCAGATGTGGTACTGGACCCAGATAGGAGGACAAACAGAATTAGTGTTTTTGACTAATCACGCCAAAATCTGGGAGCTGATTACAAAGTGGCATGTTTAATGTTGAAAAGATTGGTGATAGAGTTTGTACCAGATAAGGGCTGCCATGCTCTATAGAGGCTCCTTTAACCAATGCTTGTTTGTTATTACAGTCCCTCAACCTCTATTGTAATGCTTTAATATGATATCACCAAAAAAGTGGCTTTATTGATGAAAACTCATATCCTTATTATCAGGAACTGTTGAAATATTTTGAGAAATTAAATGAAATATAATGTTTATGTACATGTACACTGTATGATGTTTATGTACATGTACACTGTATGATGTTTATGTATATATACACTGTATGATGTTTATGTACACTGTATGTTGTATATGTATATGTACACTGTATGATGTTTATGTACACTGTATGATGTTTATGTACACTGTATGATGTTTATGTATATATACACTGTATGATGTGTATGTACACTGTATGATGTTTATGTATATGTACACTGTATGATGTTTATGTATATATACACTGTATGATGTGTATGTACACTGTATGATGTTTATGTACACTGTATCATGTTTATGTATATGTACACTGTATGATGTTTATGTACACTGTATGATGTTTATGTATATATACACTGTATGATGTGTATGTACACTGTATGATGTTTATGTATATATACACTGTATGATGTTTATGTATATGTACACTGTATGATGTTTATGTATATATACACTGTATGATGTTTATGTACACTGTATCATGTTTATGTATATGTATATATACACTGTATGATGTGTATGTACACTGTATGATGTGTATGTACACTGTATGATGTTTATGTATATGTACACTGTATGATGTTTATGTACACTGTATGATGTATATGTACACTGTATGATGTTTATGTATATATACACTGTATGATGTGTATGTACACTGTATGATGTTTATGTATATGTACACTGTATGATGTTTATGTATATGTACACTGTATGATGTATATGTACACTGTATGATGTATATGTACACTGTATGATGTGTATGTACACTGTATGATGTTTATGTATATGTACACTGTATGATGTATATGTATATTTACACTGTATGATGTTTATGTACACTGTATGATGTTTATGTATATGTACACTGTATGATGTTTATGTACACTGTATGATGTTTATGTACACTGTATGATGTTTATGTATATGTACACTGTATGATGTATATGTATATTTACACTGTATGATGATTGATAATAATGCCGACTCCAATGTCATCTTGACAAGATCAATACTGTTACTTGTACTGGCAACTTCAGTAATGAAATAATAAAATGTCCTCAGCACCTAACAGGGCTGACCAGAGTGAGGTGTCCCTGAGAGGCTTGATCTGAGTTAGTGATTTGACCAGAGAATTACTCACCCTGAACTGTCAAAACTAATCTTCACTTGTAAGACGGTGTCAGATTAAAACAATGTCAGAATAAACAGGTCTGCTTTGTTGGTGTTCATCAAAGAATTATTCATCAAAATTGGTTGAATCCAACAGTATTTATATCTGTACTGTAACGTTTAGCTGTATAGCTAGTGTATATATCTGTACTGTAAGGTATAGCTGTATAGCTACAGTGTATGTATCTGTATTGTAAGGTTTAGCTGTATAGCTACAGTGTATGTTTCTGTACTGTAAGGTTTAGCTGTATAGCTACAGTGTATGTATCTGTATTGTAAGGTATAGCTGTATAGCTACAGTGTATGTATCTGTACTGTAAGGTTTAGCTGTATAACTATAGAGTATGTATCTGTATTGTAAGGTTTAGCTACAGTGTATGTATCTGTACTGTAAGGTATAGCTGTATATCTACAGTGTATGTATATGAACTACGATGTTTAGCTGTATAGGTATATACATATATATGACCTTTGAGATGAGGTTGTATAGTTCCATCATATCTGAATTCTCTATATTTATGGTCCTGGTTACAGGATATATGAAGGTTTACAGCACATATAATCTGAATGGTTGGATTATATGCCATAATGCTGGAAATCTATAAAGTACAAATTGGCAAAAGAAAATTAGAACTTACCTGAGAAGGTGAGAATCCTTGCGTATATGCCAGGGATAATCTTCATGTCTGTAGGCCTTCTTCAGGAGGGGTCCACAAAGTTTGTTCCCCATGTCTCATGGCTTAGCACTTAAATCCAAACCTATAAACAGAAAAAAGCAACATCACATAAATTACAGGTAACTGATACCTATCACAGGTAAAATCATTAGAATCATCACAGTTTCACACAGTTAAAATATAATTGTAAAATCCTTAAAACTTCAGTATTACACCCATAGACACTTCAAATTTTACTTTTTGTTGAGGTCACTGACAAGTATTTTTATAACACTTCTCAACTAGGCCATCATGCGTTCTAAGTTCTAAACTATAGATCTTTTTTTCCTGGTTTCTTTTCTGACACTCCTGGAAAGCTCACCATTTCTTTGATATAAAGAAAAACCACCATTATTAGAGTCATCAGACTAAGGAGAACTATAAATGATAGTACAGTACTGGGAACAACTACTAAATAAAACAATATTCAGTAATGAAGACAACAAAAGCAACACTCTTCATTTGACATTTTCAATATGTCCACAAAATCTCAGGTCATTGACACTAGTGGAACTTGACAAGAAGTTTAAAATCCGTTTTTCCAGATGGCTGTCTTCGTAGCCATATTGGATTTCAGAATCCAAAAACAAGAACACCCATCCCAGGATCATTTCAGACGAGTAAGAGCTCAATCTTACTGATGGAACTTGAGAAGTTTACAACAGGAAAAGTCATCAGGTGGATGATGAAGACAGATAAAACACAATGATAACAGGTCATTCTGACCCTTTTTGTCAAATTACCTAAAAATCAAAATTTTAACTTTAAAAATCTCAGTGTCCATATCAATAATATACACGTAGCTTTATGTATCATTCTCATCATCAACACCAAACTGATGACTCAGGGCTACCATGTTGTCATTGTTTTTTCTCAATGATATGTCATGGAAAAATAAAATATTGGTTTAATAGGAAAAAAAATTAAATCTCCACAATTAACATTTATATATATTATATAAAAACTTTACTCAAATTCAACAAAAATGACAGTAAAGGGAAATAACTCTTACATCCTTCTCCACGTGTGTCGTCACATCTCAAAGAAAAATTGAACATTATGATAATTTTGTATCTTCTAAATCTAAGGATTTTTCACTCAATATGGCTGATTCTATAGAGACTGTTATAATGTTGTGTAAGTGTACACAGTGCAGGCCTCATGACATCACGATAAATGTTACAGAAGTTTCAACAGGATCAAACATCTTATCTCCTGAATAACATCTTATCAGTGTGTCAGTATTTAAAAATAAATAATATAATAAAAAACCATTAATGATTAAAACTAAACTTACAATTGAGAAGAAGTAAGGATGACCAGAGCTGGACTGTTTATATGTATACAGGAATGTCAGTCCATCACAGAACACACATGGTCTTATCTTTTCCTTATTTTGCAAAAGTCCAATGGCTTCCCAATTACTTTTAATCTAAACAATTTCAAAACACTAAGACCATTGTATGAAATGTGTACTAAACAACATTTAAATCAAATACATGTGGTACATGTTTCTTATCACCCAGAAACACTACTGTTGACCACAAGTATGTCATAGTTATGACCACTAACTGTGAAGTAGCATTATGTGATAGTTATTATAGGACAGCAGTGACACTCATTACAAAGTAGTTAGGAGTTGTAAAGGACAGATCTGGTACTCAATACAGACTCAGTGTCAGTAATATAGTACAGATCTGGTACTCAATACAGACTCAGTGACAGTAATATAGTACATATCTGATCTCAATACAGACTCAGCGACAGTAATATAGGAAAGATCTGGTACTCAATACAGACTCAGTGACAGTAATATAGTACAGATCTGGTACTCAATACAGATCTGGTACTCAATACAGATCTGGTACTCAATACAGACTCAGTGACAGTAATATAGTACAGATCTGGTACTCAATACAGACTCAGTGACAGTAATATAGGATAGATCTAGTACTCAATACAGACTCAGTGACAGTAATATAGGATAGATCTGGTACTCAATACAGACTCAGTGACAGTAATATAGGACAGATCTGGTACTCAATACAGACTCAGTGTCAGTAATATAGTACAGATCTGGTACTCAATACAGACTCAGTGACAGTAATATAGGACAGATCTGGTACTCAATACAGACTCAGTGTCAGTAATATAGTACAGATCTGGTACTCAATACAGACTCAGTGACAGTAATATAGGACAGATCTGGTACTCAATACAGACTCAGTGACAGTTATATAGTACAGATCTGGTACTCAATACAGACTCAGTGACAGTAATATAGGACATATCTGGTACTCAATACAGACTCAGTGACAGTAATATAGGACAGATCTGGTACTCAATACAGACTCAGTGACAGTAATATAGTACAGATCTGGTACTCAATACAGACTCAGTGACAGTAATATAGGACATATCTGGTACTCAATACAGACTCAGTGACTGTAATACAGGACAGATCTGGTACTCAATACAGACTCAGTGACAGTTATATAGTACAGATCTGGTACTCAATACAAACTCAGTGACAGTAATATAGGACAGATCTGGTACTCAATACAAACTCAGTGACAGTTACAGACTCAGTGACAGTAACAGACTCAGTGACATCAAACAGCTGTGGTAGCTTTGATCAAACTTGATTTTACTTACCCTTGGTGACTGTTTAAAATCCAATAGCACACAGGGGAAACTCAATGTTTTATATGTCAGTGTTCAGTTTAGAATTCCAGATGATCCTGAGAGTCCCAACACAGACAATTGGCACACTTTACAATACATCAAGGATGCATTTAAAAAAAATCATCATACAATTGTGATTTTAAATATGATTTCCACATCTGTAAAGGTCGTATCCTCCATTAGTAACAGCTTGGGATGTGTATTATAGGGATGTAGCCTTATTTCTCCCTGATCAAACCTGTAGATAATACAGAGATTTTCAAGTGTCTAGTATCACACAGCTATACATACAATGAAAAATTATAGATTATTGGGTTGTAAAAGATGGTATTCCAACAGCTGTACGACTGTCATCAGGATTTGTCACTGCTACAGTCAACATGGCTCATACATACAACACAGCCAGCTAAAGGATCATCTTTAGCTTTCCTGATATAGAACTAAGAACTATACTCTATACATATATATAATATTATGTAAAATACATATATCTAGTTGTACCGAGATCTTCAATTTATTGTTTGAATATTAATATGGATTCTAAATGACAACTGCCCTTGAAGTGTCCTCTACTTCATTGAGAGTTCTATGTAATGCCCACAGATTAAAGGGTACATATTCATATTTTTTTATTTCCAGATCCAACTGATTCTCCAGTAATGCTAAACTCAAAGAGATAATTCTGTCATTATTATGTCATGGGATGATTTCAGGGTTTTACAGAAAGTGATTGGGATTTGCCTATATAACATTTCAGCATGTTCTGAGAATTTCAATGAGATTTTCAGCAAACATGGGAAAAAATCTCAAAATAGCAAGATGTGAAATAGCCTTAATTAACAGATCTTAAATGTCAAACATCAAAATGTGTGACTTCAGTAATAAGTTGTTCTTAAATGTTGATGATTTATGTATTACCAAAATAATTTGCTTGCAGGCAGGCAATGATAGATGTTTTAAAAGCATGGACTGTAATATACCATCATTCAAGTTCAACTGGTTGTTTATATAACACAAGTGACACTGTTATTGGCGAAAGTGTATAAAGGGACAAAACTCTTAAAGACAAATCTCATTTCTAGTATATTTATTCCAATAGTATTATATGATGTCACAAGAACTCAAGGTCAAACCCAAGGTCATTGTCATATCCACCTAGTTTCACATCCCTCTTCATAAATCAATTAAATCAATTTAAAAGTTAGATTTAAAACTCAGGGTCATAGAAGAAACCCTCAAAACCACAATAGTCAATGATTCTGGTTAAATCATTTGACAGAAAACCTTGGAAAACAAGTATAATTTGAGGTCACTGACTCCACAAAACACAGGAGGAATTCTTTCATCATTTTTAGCCGTTTTCACCAGTTTCCATAATGAGAGGATGACATGGCACAGATTGTCAGCTATCAAAGCTCACACCAGGATCCCCTGATACCACTGGTGCATGTGATGGCAATCACACATATCACTTTATAGCGATCAAAACATGGGTGATTACTGATGATGATGGTCTGATTGTGTGTGTTAACTGGTAAAGGATGGAAGGCTTGGGTATAAAGAATTGTTTTCATAACAATAATCTAACGAAAATATTACAATCAAAATTAAAAAAAAAAAAAATCAATTGACAGAAGAAAAGTCAATCATATTTTATGAAAACCATTCTTCAGATTCTCCCAGAGTACCAGAAGTCAACTCCATATCTTCTCTTCAAATATTCATTGTATCCAGCTCTAAACGTTGACACAAGAAAATTAATATTGCTATTTTACATCAATATTTTGACAGAATTCATTCATTATTTAACAAACTTGGTAACCAGACAGCATCTCCCAACACCTCAAAACAATGTTGGTAACCATGTCTACACCCAGAGAGGTAATTTATGTGGAGGTTAAAATTACTACAGATTCTACCTTGTTGTCCTGGTTTTACAGAACATTCTAACTATAAAAGATGTTGTACAGATTTTGATGCCTGAAGAGGAGTTGGAAAACCTCCAAACTTATAACAGGTCTTCTTCGCATATTTACGTAATAGTGTGTTGGTCCGCATAGAAATCTGCAGACTTTTCAGTAAACATTTGATGCAGAATGGGAAAGTTTGTTTGGGTAAATTGTTTAATCTAGCTGTGAAATCAGTGCTATACCAACACTTAAAGTGTTAATTAAGTCTAAGGTCACAAGACCTTATGTTTGTGTACTCTGGCAACGTAAAGCAAAGTCTAACATTCTTCAAGAGTGTAAATAAGATTTCCTGATTTTGGTTATCAAATAACTTCAACACTATTTCAGGGCACTTTATATATGTTTCATGCAAATAAAGA